CTATGGTCTTATTATCGTGGCACTTGCTAATGTTAGACAAATATTTTATTATTGACTATTTTATTTTACCCCTTACAGCACTTAATCTTTATTTAGTTCATCGTGATAAATATAGAAATCGGTTTTTGCAAATTCAAAAAGCTCTTCAACCTACTAAAGAAGCACTTTCATCTATTCAGGATATCAATACAAGATGGAACTCAATATACTTGGTACTTAAAAGACTTATTGTATTAAGACAAGTAATTAGATCTATGTACGAAGCAATGAAAAAAGATCATGATAAAGAAATTCGTAAAGATGGCAATATTTTAGCTAAATTAGACTTAACAGAAGATGAATGGAATTGTATTACCGAATTAGTATCACTTCTTTGTCCATTTGCAGAAGCTATTAAGTTTTTAGGCGGCTCAACTTATTCAACTTTATCGATTCTTTATCCTACAATTCAAAGTCTTTTCAATCATTTACAATCAAATATTCAATCTACATATCAACCTATAATTTTAATTCGCGAAGCTATTTTAAAATCAATGAAAAACCGATGGTTAGATTTTGAAGATTTTGGACTTTTAGCATTTCTAATGGATCCAAGATTTAAATCTCTTACCTTTATCTCCCCTTCAATTAAAGAATGTATACTTTCTTTTGTTCGCAACTTAATAGAAGTATCACCTCAACAATCACCTTTATTAAATGAAACCATATCTCCTATGTTTGAATTTTTTAAAAATTCTAATCACGAAACCTATATAATAAAAAAATTCTAATCACAAAACCTATATAATAAAAAAATTCTAATCACAAAACCTATATAATAAAAAAATCAGAGTTAGATATTTATATGAATATTCCAACTCTTTCTCCAACTGAAAAAAATGATCCTATTTTATGGTGGAAAAATAATTATAATACTTTTTCTCAACTATCAAAAATCGCATGTACTTACTTATCTATTCCTGCAAGTTCAGTTCCAGCCGAAAGACTTTTTTCTAGTGCAGGTAATACGCTTACTGAAAAACGAAATCGCTTAGATCCAACTACAGATTCTGATCTTTTGTTTCTGAATCAAAATTCAACTACTTTTACCGTTGTTCCTAAATAAAAAAAAATTTTTTATGTATATGTATATGATTAACCAATAAAAAATCAGAAATTTATTTCTAAATAGAGATAGCTAACCATAGTTAACTATGTATAATTAATATAATTAACTGATTAACCGGTTAGAATCACTATCTTAGACCCTATCCATTAATGGAATCGATATTCCCAGAAGATAGTCTTAAATGGATCTTGGTGATGATCTCAAATAAAAAATGTTTATTATTGTACACAAAATTAATTATCAGAAAAAAAGATTATTTCGATCTAATTGTTTTATTGATACAGTACAGTACAAAATACATGAGGGTGGTTAAACTATCTATTGTAAAACAATGACTTTTTGAGCCTACCCACTATTTTTTGATAATTTTTTGATAATTCTTAATATACGTAAATTGAATGGTTCGATTTTGTATAAGTTTTGCTGATATTTAAATCATAATAATATCTTTCATAATTATCATCAAAAAATCTACAGAACCTATTATCATCTTTCTCTTTATCATTATAGTTGGAGAATTCATTATTATCAGCATCCTCATTGTAAGAATTTTCATCATCAAAGGGTTTCAAGTAAGGATCAAAGTTTTAAACCGAAAATTAATTGATCTGTAAATCGATTTCAGTTCAAATTAGTTTGGTTTTTAAAATTTTTAATCCAATAAAATTTAGATTAGTTCAATTTTAAAATTTTTTAATCCAATTGGATCAGATTAGTTTAGTTTCAGTTTGTATCAAATCCAATTTAAAATTTATATTTAAATGGAAACAAAAAAAAATTAAAATAAAATATATAAATCAATAAACAAAAAAATCAAAAAATTTTACAACTTGATATTGTCTTATTATTTTTTTCACAATTTAACATTATAAATGAAAAAATTTTTTAATGATTTTACTTTTGCTGTTTTCATCATTCCTTTATATTTTAGCAAGCTTGTTTTATATTGATATTTTTTTTATTCTAACAATTACTGTTTAACTTTTTTTCAATAATTTTTTTATTGATTTTTTTTAAAATGAAATATAAAATTTCTTCTGATAATTATAATTTTCAATATATTAATGATGAAACTAGCAACTTAATTAATCATAAAAACTGCAGTACCAATAATATTATTACAAGTAATTTTTTAAAAACATTATTATCTTTTATAATAACAAACTAAAACAAAATATGAAACTATTTTACAAAAGATTTGAGTTTTAAAAATATTAAAAAAGCTACTTGCAACTATTACAAAACTATATATATTTATAATGAAGACAATACTATTAATATATATGTATATTTTGAAAATATTATGCAGTAAAATTAAATTAAAACATTAATAGATCTAGTATCAAAAATTATTTTAATAAAATAAAAATAATAAAATTTTATTTATATTAAATATTAAATTTATTATTAATTTATTTAATATTTATTTAATATTTAATAGATATATAAATCTAAAAAATGAAAAAAAATAATTTAATGGATTATTATTAAACAATATTTTTTTATAATTATATAAGAATCAACTTTTTAATAATTTATATAGACTTTATTGAAAAATATAAAATTACTTCTCTTATTGCTATTAAAACAAATATAATAAAACTCTATTAGACTAGGATATCAATATAAATAAAAGCTTTTTTAGCCATAATTGTATATTTTATTGATAAAATTTGAAAAATGTAATTAATAACTATGGATTTTATATAAATTTGAAGTGTCTATTCTGTTAAAAATAAATTTTTAATATATTTGAAAAACTTTATAATTCAAATAAAGGCAGGTTTTATTTTATATTTATTTATTAAATTTATAAGATAATGGATATTATAACCAATAATGCTAGTAATAATTTAATATTTGTTAATTCAATAGAAGAATAAAATAGATATCAAGCTATTTTATTTACAATTAAAAAAAATAATATCTGATATTTTGTATATGTTATTAATTTAAATATACAAAAAATATTAAAAAATATTAATGATAAATTAAAACATGCAATTTATAATATTTATTTATAATATTTAAAAATTGGTTTATTTATCTATTTTAAATTCTTTATATATTGTTAATATAAAAATTATAGTAAGAGACATAACACAACATATGGAGCCCAGCGCAGTACTACATGGAGCATCAATCATATATCAATTATATATAATTGATGAGTATCGTTACAGTGAAACACAGTAAGTCTGTCACTTCTGTTTTTTTTATGTCGTGTTATAATGGGAAATGATTCTTTATCAAAAAAGACATATATATTTGGCTCGAGTTTAACAATGACGCAGATCAATTTGTCAATCTTGCGTCATAAATAGTAACCTCCTGCATGATCACTTCTTAATTAGTAACCTTCTCCAAATGAATAGCCTTTTTGGATGTATAGTTCTCTCACTTTTTTCTATATTGTTAGCTTACTTTTATACTTTTTATATCTTATAATTTATACAACTCTATACTTGTTATTTACTTTATATTTGTTATTATTTATTATCAGATAGATAACTCAAAATACTAGAATATACTAGAAATACTGGATATTTTGATAGGTCTATCATATTTCTTTTTATATTCTTTTCTTGTTTGTGTTCATTTATTTTATAGTTTATTTTTATCTTAACATTACAAAACTTGTCAAAGTTTAGTAATTTTGTATAATATGATAATAGATTTAGAGATGTATCGCAGTCATATAAATAGCAATGATATCCAAATATAAAAGACAGAATAAAATTAATAAAAATACTATTTTGTTAAAAAATCAAATGTTTGTACCTGTATAATAATAATTAATAAACTTACCTTATTTGTTTTTGGTCATCCTAAGAAGAATCCAGGATCTGATAGTTTAATAGAAAAAGGATTAGAAAAGGAAACTAGCTAAACATAAAAGAAGATTAGAAAAATTATCATCATATATATCTTTGATATCACTAGCAAAATAGATATTTCTCTTGACATAGCATAAGTCTTAATCTGGAGTAGTAACAGACTCGCCATTGAGATTAACAATATATAGCTTTATAAATTTATTATAAAAATTTAATCATTGTTCCAGTATTAAGAAAATTTAAAAAAAAGCTTATAAAATACTTAGAATAAAATTTTAAAATCTATTTTGGATATAAAAACTTGATAAAATTCAATATATAAAATTATTACATATACTATAAAATTAAAACAAATAAATTAATTAAGACTACTTTATAGAATAAATAAATAAGACCAACAGTATTACAAAGTATGAGCCAGAGAGGAAAATGTAATAAGAACCCTAGTAACAGTTAACAAATACATGTCTTTTGAATCGATCATATCTGATATATGAATCCACTCCAAGGTGTAAGTTAATATAAACAAGTTAAAAAATAAGGTGGATGTATTAGTTAATATTAGCAATAGTTAATAGACTGTTCATATAATGAAATATGATCTTTATTAATTTAATAAACTGTATGTGTATTACATTTAGTCTTATAAAAAAAACAAATAAATTAGTTTAATTTTTTAAAGTTTATATAAGTTATTTAAAATATTTCTATTTTAGACAATTGAATATATTGTATTTATATATACTAATTAAAAAAACATCAATTTAACAAAAATTATTAGAAAATATTTGAGCAAATATAAAATTTCTTGTACTTTTTCAATAAGTAATGACAATAGTATTAGTAAAAATATATTATATCCTTACTATAATGGTTTTTTTATATAATTTATTACTTGATTATATAGAAGATAATATAAACAATAAAGAACTTGATATAATAATACAACTAGCATTAAAAAAATATGTAGAAAAATTGAAAAAGTATTATAACAAAACAAATCTAATTTATTTAATAATTGTAATTTTAAATTCAAGGTTTAAAATAAAATATTATAAAATAATTAATTGAAATAAAAAAATAATCAATCAAATTTATAAAGAATAAATATAATTTTTTAATTTTAATTTATTATTTTTTTATTATAAACAGACATTAAATACAAGACTTTATTTAAACAATAAATTTATTATTATTTACATTAATAATATTTATAAGAAAGAAACAAATCAATTGTAATCTATTACAATCTAAACTAGCTATACAAATTTTCATCAAGTAAATAAATTTATATAAATAATGCTAAATAACTAATACTTGTTTAGAACAATAAAACTATTATTAAAATAAATATTTGTTTGTTAGTATAGTTATTTAAGTTTTGTAATATATTAAGAATTTTGATAAATATTGAGTTATTATTTTTAATTAAATTATTATTATTGAGTATATTATAGCTTTTACTTATTTTATATTAAAGGATAGTGAAGTTGCTACTATTGTGAATTGTTGTTTTCAAGTTTTGTAAAAAATTTTGAATATATAATTAGAAATTTCTTCTTGTTTTTTTTTAATATAATTGAACTGGAATTGATAATTGCATATAGTGATTAGATCTTGATTTGTTAAACAAAATACTAAGTTTGTTATTATAAAGCTTTAATAGTTTGATTTAAATATGAGTTTTTGCAGTTTGGTTTTTTTTTGTCAATAAAGAAATAATTGTATACATAAAAGAAAATATAAAAGATATTTTTAATAAAAGTATTATATCTGAAGCAATGGTTATTGATATTGTTGGCAGGAAAATTGCATGGAACATGGCCATGGTACGCGATCTGATGTGTCGTGTACCCTGAAAATTGAAAATAATTAGTGGGTTGCATAAGCAATGATGCAATAATTAGAGTTTAGAATAGACTTTCCATAATTTCCCTTGTAAAGATAGTCTATCAATAATTTATTTTCCCTTAATTGTTTTTCTAGTAGTAACAACAATATAAATAGAGAAAGGCCATGCAAATAAGAAAAACCATTCCTTAAATTAAAACCTTCTTAATTAAAACATGTGATAGTTGTTGCCAAAAGGAGTAAAACTAATTAACTTACCTAATTTAGTACTTGTAACAAATAGGACACTTGGGATACGAAGGGAAAAGT